AATCATGCTATTATAGTACTTAATGCATGTATGCCCCATGTAAAACACAACGGCCATGCAATTATCACAGGGCCCCTTTAACTGCATACATGTACATGCAGTAGGTAATTATATGTAACCAATCTTGATGTTTAGAACATGTACACTGTAACCGGAAATATATCAAAGATGTACTGCATAATGTAACACAGTCATCCTTCATTCTAAAGAGTCTTAAATACTGAAAGTTGCTATTAATAATAGTTTTAAAGGCATTCAAGCCATTTTCTTACAGTGCAACTTCTCCTACCAAGGTCATCCAACAAAATCTGTTGCCTTTGCAATGTACCACTCGATTACAGGGATAATTTGTTGGAAAACTATTCTTAACCTCCTCAATTTTCACTCAATAAATTTGAGGAAGATTTGGTCGGGTGGCCTTGGTTGGAGTAGTTGCACTGCAATCGAATGTCACTTTATCTAAATCTATTTACCAGGTATTTGCAGCAGAACCTTCTGTCAAAGATAGATAATTTGGATCATCTACAACTGCTGGACACTCTTAATGTCAGCAATAACACCATTTACAAAATTGAAAATATAAGTAAGTTGTACTTCTGTTGAGTTTATATTGCTTTCCAAACTTCTTCAGTACCTCCTAATCAAAAGTGCACTTTATTTCAAAACCAAATTATATGTTTCTTGCTGTACTTTTTACAATAGTCTTTATTACGCAGTCAGTTTAAGTTGTTTTCTGATTAGTGAAATGTCTTGGAATTAATTATAAAGTATCTAGCATAATTTCCATCTTCACAGATACATATACACTAAAGGATGGTAACCTTGCTTGTTCTGCACTGTACAGTAGCTTAGAAAACCAAACCACATCTTTGCATTTCCTGACAAGTAAAAGTACACACTGGATCGCTGATCAGTCAGATTCTATTCTCTCTTGTTGTTCATGATCAAATGGCAAAATTCTGATTCTCTTTGTTTTCTTTGCACCACTGCAGGTGCCATCCCCAAACTGAGCACACTACAGATATCACACAACCGTTTATCAACAGCAGATGACCTGAAACATTTAGGAGAATGTCATAATCTGAGGTACAGTATATTCATTTTAACAATGTGTTTCTCCAGAAAATATTGATCCTGACCCTCCATGAAGAAGGTTGTTTGATTTGGAATCATCAGGAGGTTTGTGATCCCCACTCCACCCCTCAGATATTTTGTGCATTATACAGTGTCCTTCTGATAGTGGGTGTGGATACTTCTGGAACTATATTCTGTAGTCTGCATATTATCAATAAATTGGACCATAGGATTAAAGCTGGTCCGAATTTTCATAACTTTATGAAGTCCCNACTTCCCAAAACCCTTACCCTGTTTATGACAAAAATCATTGATTTTCCCTACCCTATTTATGACCTGACCAAAAATTTGATACGGTAACCCTATTTATGACCTCACCCTTTAATCAATACCCTGTTTCAGACCTGCCTTATAATTAGTTACCTAGTTCAGACTGATGTTAAGTTTATAAAGGCATTGTGAAGGGCTTCTGTTGATGGCCTTATGAATAATGATGAAAAACTAGCTTCTCCTAAAAATCATTCCCAATTTAATTGAGTGCAAAAACCACCATTTACCTGTACGACCAAAACGGCCAAAATCAACCCCCTTTTTATGTCCAAAATGGCCTAATTGATACCCTATTTATTACTATAATGGCTGAATTTAAACAATAAAGAGAAATTCTTTTATTTGGCTTAAAAATGTTCACTTATATGTTAATTACCAGATGAGAACAAGTCTGTTTCTTGAGTTTGGAAAAATTTTAATTTTTTAAAAATAGATAACTAAAATTAGATTTGATTTTTGGATGTTGAACAAATGAGATGATATTTTTCGTTTTAGAAGTGATTACAATAAATTGTTATTGCAGTAATATTTCAAAACTGTTTAACAGAGTAACTCTTTATGTCTGTCCTCAGTGTTGTGGATGTGTCACACAACAGAATAGATGATCCTGATGTCTTAGAAGTCTTTGCCTCCATGAAAAATCTTGTAAGTCTGTTGAGAATAAACATTTGCAAACTTTGATACTTGAATTCAGTACAGCCCATTTAGTGTACATATGTACATACAGCAAGTACGTATAAATTATTTCACCTGTACAGTGCTGTGACTATTTCTATGATCAATTGAAATACATTCATCAGTTGTTTAACAAGTTCTTGTACTTTGATCAAATTCAAAATTATTTAAAGTAATAAGATTGCTTTAATTTCCTTCCTCAAATAGCATGTTCTTAACATGATGGGTAACCCTGTCATCAAGAAAATCAAGAATTACAGGAAAACATTCATCATCAAAATAGTGAGTGAATTGTTTTATTCTGATGAATATGTCACATATGCCACCCTTTTAATGTTGATACTTATATATGTTTATATTTTTGTCTATGATGACTGGTCATGCAGGACAGGCTAGAAATTTAAAGTGTCTTTCAAAATTTTATATGACCAGGAAACTTGCTTTGTTATGAGGTTAGAGGGAGATCCTGACATTTTAAGGGGGGTGGCTGAAATTAAGATGAGCAGTTCTTTGGTTGAAAAAGTTCGTGAGAGTTGCAGTGTTGGGATGAAGCTTTAATACATCAATTCTTTCACATGAGGGTGGGGAGTGGGGGCTGGGGGTGAGTTGAAAATGTTATGTATAGATCAGTGACTGTTTAACAATGCAAAAGGCCATTTCCTATGAAATGATAAAATCTGACATATTGATTACCAAGTGTGAAGAACGCACATACGTTACTTTGCAATAAATGACAGTAAGTTACCAGGAAATTTCCAAGAAGGGTTATATCATTTGGAAATTCCAAGTGAAGGGGGGGGGACCTCAAAAGCCAACGTTTTTAAAGGAAAGTATGAACCAAAACTGGAATTTGGGGGTGGGTGGGGGGTAGGTCAAAGCAAAGAACCCTCTGTGGGAGGGGTCTGGATATTAATAATCCAGAACAGCACATAAGTTCACACAATTGAAAAATATACTTAGAATCTCTGTTTAGATTCTTGTCAAGATTCTAAATCGACCAAGTCCGTTTAGATACTAACAGAATAACTATGTGTGTTCAATGTCCTTTTGATACAGAAAGGCCTGA